GAATATGTTTTGCAAAAGTGTTTTCATTTTTCTGTTTTTGTTTGTTAAATCGACGTTTTCTAGTTGATGGTCTAAGCCTTTCCAATCCAAAAATTAATATTTTGGAGCAACTGATATTTTAACTGCGGATTGCAATGTTTTTAGTGGAAACGGTGTGTTTTTTTTTATATCCTAGGATATACATCCTAGGATAACGGGGAGTCGTAATCCTAGGATGTATAGGCGAGATAGCTATTTGTGTTGTTGCGGGTATTGTTTCAACAATTTTTTTGTTTACAAAATGTGATAGCAGTTGGCTATCTTGTTGTTCCAGATTCCTAATTCCGTTTATTTTTTCTGGAGTTTTAATGAAGGTCGAAAAAAATTGTTAATGAATGTCCTATCAATAAAACTTGTTTAGTAAATTAGAGGTGTAGTGTCGGTTGTTAATGGGGTTACTTTCAAATAAGCTTTAAATAGGATATGACTTCTTTTGCTGCGCTGGAGATATCATTTGGTGTTTTAAAAAACGTGATACTATTCTGGGTCACATACAAAATCTGTTTCTTCTGCTATCATTGTTTAGTCGTCACTTTGTGGTCTAAAGTTTTTTCATGCTTGTGAAATTAGGTCCAGATTACGTTAAAAGTAATCTGTTATAAGCCATGCTAGGTTTCTTTGTAGATCAAAGTCAATTAATTGTAATTTTTTGAGGTCAGTGAGTGTTTCATGCTTTGAGCTAGAAATCGTGAAAAGAGTTTAACTTCTCAACCTACTATTGCAGGTCGAAATACTTTATAGTGGAGGTACCTAAAATGTTTCATTTGCCCCAACATTGAAAGGTGAAAAACGATTGATGTGAAAACATTTGTGAAGATTGATTTTGCTTTTTTGTGGTTTTCAATGTTTGAATTTTTCTGATGTTTTAACAGGAAATGTCATCTGTTTGTATTCGCCGTGGTGGTTGGTTTGATGAATATGGCGGTAAAATTTCGATAGTGAATAGCCATAGTATGAAACTATATTACTGACACCTGTAGGTAGTGATCTTGTTCTGGTCTTCGGATATTTTTCTCGGAATTTGGATTTACATGGGCTTTTTTCTTTTTATAACAACATTATGATTAAGTTGTGACAAAATAGTACTTGCCCTCTAATTTTTTGGTTCAATGACGAAGGAAACAAAAGTGTCATCGTCAATCTGGCAGTCGTTCTGGATCATATATTGTGCCATATTACGGTAACTGTGTAATTTTCAATGTGTCTTTTTAGTTGATTCCAAATGTATAAACTTGCCGGTTTGCGAATACATGATTTTTTTTTTATTCTGTGATTGTCTTTATTAGATGATGCTGTTTTGGCTTCTATTTGGTAAAAATGTCTTTGATTGTCTACCATTTTTTTTTCTTTGTCGTCTAGTAAGTGTCGAAGACATTCGTTTTGTTGTTGAGTCATTTTTCGAAACTTAGTTTTTTGTTTGCTTTTGTTTGAAACTGTTGCCATATTTTTTTACGAAATGTCTCCTACTTTTTGTCTGTGTGGTGAAACTACGAGATCGTATCTGACATCTTTAATCAAACAATTGTGTAGCATTTTTGTTTGTTTGTTTCTCAAAATATCTCTCGACATGAGTGTTAGAATGATTGATGCAAATTCTGGGTGTCGGTTTTATATCTTAACCTGTTAGTTTTACAATTTTTCCTGAGGTAATTTTAATCTTCGAAGTAGATTGTCAAGAATAGACGGCTTGGGGAAAAAGTATTTTCGTTCGTTCGGAGGATTTCATACTGCTCACGAGTGTAATTTTATTTATATCTGAGTAAAACTTAATCTGACCCAGTTGGGGTTTGATTTGAGATCAAGGATTGGAGAATGGTAAATCAACCCACAAGTTTCAGGTATATTTAGAACAGAAATAGATCATTTGATCCAATTTTAATTCTTACTAGTTCTAAGATTTGTTGTAAGCCTGAGTCAATTAATAGGTAGGGCGCAAGCGGAGAATGAGTAACCGAATTTCTTCGCCTATTAGCCTGATTGAAATGGTTAATTTTTGGAAATTGTCAGTTTTAGCTAAGTCATATATTAGAGTTGGAAAGTGAATCGACGCTTGGGATCATAAGACACTGTTTTTAAAAGGTGTGAATGAAAAACCTAAAATCAACTAAAGATCCTTCTCTGTAATAAAAACCTTCTCATTTGCTCTTTTATTGTTCAAGGAAAGCTTAGAAGCTGATCTATTGAACCTGAGAAACTGTGGTTTATAGGTTTTAAAGCTTGTAAAAAAAATGAGCTCGCTCTCATAAATTGTATTTTACATGCTACCTTATTTCTAGTAATGAGCCAATATCGCCCTGGTGATTGATTTTTTCATCGTCTCATTCATCCTTTGATATAATAAAATGATCATTGGTGCAAAATTAAAAACGGTAAAAAGTAAAGAAATCAAAATCGACTCTTCCTGAAAAAATTTTTTTCAAGACAACTGTCTTTTCAAGCAACAAAACGCTAGCCGTAGGCCGTGTACAATCAGTACTCCTTATAGGTAGATTTTGTTTTACACATGTTCAGCCAATTTTGTGCATTTATCAGACAATGCGCACTTCAGTTTATACGAAAATGTAGGTAAAAAACATACCAGGTGTAGTTTCGAGACCGTATCTTGCACCTTTAATCAAACACAAACATTTATGGACAACTATTGTTTGTTTGTTTCCCAAACTATCTCTTGATATTAGTGTTAAAATGATTGATGCAAATTCCAGGTGTCGGTTTTATATCTTAACCTGTTAGTTTTACGATATTTCGTGAGGTAATTTTAATCTTCGAAGTAGATTGTCAAGAATAGACGGCTTGCGGAAAGAGTCTTTTCTTTCGTTAGAATGGTTTCATACTGCTCTGGAGTGTGAGTTTGTTTACATCTGAGTAAAAATTATTCTGACCCAGTTGGGGTTTGATTAAGGTAAAATTAAAAGAAAAATAGATCGTTTGAAACAATTTTAGTTCTTACTAGTTCAAAGAATTGTTGTAAGCCTGTGTCAAATAAGAGATGGGTCTCAAGTGAAGAATGAGTTACTGAAGTTCTTCACCGTTTAGCCTTAATGATATGGTCAATTTTTGGAAAATTGTCAGTTATACCTGGGTCGTATATTAGAGTTGGAAAGTGAATCGACGTTTGAGATCGTTAGACACTAGTTTCAAAAGGTGGGAAACAAAAACAAATTACTGATCGATAAATGATTGAGTGTTAGTTTTTTTATAAATTTACAATTATGACTAAAACTTTAAAACTATTAAAACTTTAAAACGTTAAAAATTTAAATACCAAGGTTAGCTTGATGATCTTGGTTTGATTAAAAAAACTTTGGGTTTAAGTTAAGGATACGGAAGACTTAATGATTTGGTTAAGGGTTAGGGTTTTAATTTAAAAAACATTGTTGTTCTAAAAAAAATTTAGCTTTGGGTGTTATAGGTGATGAAAAACAAGAACAGGAAAAGTCCTCAAGAAGCAAGAAAGTTTTTGTATAATATTTTAAGTTTTACCATAAATACTTGCCTGGCTAATTGTTTGTATTTGTTTTTGATTCAATAAATATGAAAATTCGAAAAATTTTACAAAATTACAGATGTGAAAGTTTTGAGGTAGATGGTAGGTTTGTAGTCGAATGGGTATTTATATAATCAATAACTATACATCATAGTGGGATATAGTAATTGGAAAAAATCTTACTGCTCTGTTTATCGCAATTCAAATTATTGAGTGAAAAAGTGCTGCACAAATAACTTTGTCGCAGAAAAATCGTTGTTGTCTGTTTTTTGTTTCATGATGAAGGGACTCGGTTTTTCGTCCTGGTTGTGATCTGGTGTCAACTTAAGTTTATGTTTGAATCGATTACACTTATTGAGGCGTGGAAATAAGCTAATGTTATTATTGATTTGGTTTATTATCTTGTTGAGCGTTTCTTGATCTAATTTATCTACTCCAATTTGTTTTTGCTTAATCTAGAATAGTAGAGACTCGGTTGAAACTCTTTCTGTCGCACCAAATGAGTTTAAATCCTGGTTGGCTTTCTCATAGAGTAATTTCGGAAAAGGTAAGCCGTCTGTTCGTCTTGCTATCTTTTTTTTCGGTCGGATAGGTTCATGCAACTTCTTAGTCTAATACCAATCCAAATCTTATGTATAATTTTTCTAGTAGCATTAGATCTAGTATAAATTGGTATTTTTGCGAGGCTTAGACTCAAAAAAGAGCAACTATTTGCAAAGTTAAATTTATTCTTTTATGGCTGAAACTATAAAAAGTTTCAGCTTACTATCTACTGTAAGTTTCGGTCATGGTCGTGATTGGTTTGTTCTTAGTGTTTTACAGAGGTAATTATCAAGAATATAGTTAAATATATTGAAAATTTGTTTTGAACTGGTTACACTATGTAACCAGCGGCACCGAATTTTTCCGATCGAATATATAAGTTTTTTCTAACTGATTCCGAATTTAAAACAAGCGCAAATAATAACTATCTTGAGAAAAAGTGTTATGTGGATAAGCATATTTTTTCTGTGATGGACCAAAATCTGTTCTTTATCCCAGAAATTTATAATCAACTTAAGATCCTTCTCTGTAATAAAACCCTTCTCATTTGCTCTTTTATTGTTCAAGGAAAGCTTAGAAGCTGATCTATTGAACCTGAGAAACTGTGGTTTATAGGTTTTAAAGCTTGTAAAAAATTGTGCTCGCTCTCAAAAATTGTATTTTACATGCTCCCTTATTTCTAGTAATGAGCCAATATCGCCCTGGTTGTTGTTTTTTTTCTTCGTCTCATTCCTCGCTTGATATAATAAAATGATCATTGATGCAAAATAGAAAACGCTAAAATGTACAGAAATCAAAAACGATTCTTCCTGAAAAAGAACATATTCAAGACAGGTGGTAAGAAAAAAAGAAGACTGTCTTTTCAAGCAACAGAGCGCTAGCCATTGGCCGTATACAATCATAGTACTTCATATAGGTAGATTTTGTTTTGCACATGTTCAATCAATTTTGTGCATTTATCAGACAATGCGCACTTCAGTTTATACCAGAGTGTACGTAAAAAACAAATCATTGAATGCGCAAAAACAAAATAAAAAAAAACATCATCGATATACAAAATCGCACTTTTTTGTCCATATACCTGAATTGTAAAGTTAAAGCCTTTGATTCAGTCATTTGATTTCGGAAGTGTTGCTTAATATAACAAGGTTCTACTTCACTGCCAAAGGAGGATTATCATATTGGGCCAAGGAATCCATTTAGACGTCTCTGAGAGGAAATTTGAGACATTTCTGCAATATAATGGAGTTTAATTACTCAGTCATGGAGCAGAGTCTCAAACCGGAGCCCCTTCCCAGAGAGAACAGCATAGTTGACCTGTTGGTGGATGAGGGTCATCTGGAGTTGAACCCCAAGCTGGTGAAGAGCGAGGCTGCCCTGATTGAGCAGGCAGAGAGTCTGCTGAAGGTCTTGGCCGAGAAAGGAGATGAGCTGGCGCCATTTAGACTGGGGCAGTTGTTCTACGAAGAGGCTAGTATTTTTTCTGATTTTAAATTGAAACGGAACAATGTCGTTAGTTAAGGTTGACCAACAACCATTTTCAATTTACCAGCTCTTTTGTAAGCGAATCACTCGTCGCTTTCATTTCGTTTTCACAATCTCTAAGGCGCTTCCTACAATTCTTCATCTTAAACCATATTTCAGAAATTTTGCCCAGGTTTTTTTCTGCACATACCTAGACTTAAATAAACTTGTCTAATAGCGCCTAGTAGATAGCATAAGGTTGTTGGTCTCTGATTGTATACATTAGTAGCAATTGACCTTTCGGATAGTTAAGGGTTCAAACTCCTAGAGGGGGCACCGGTTCGTTATAAGCTCAAAATGTATAATGTTAATTAACTATAATGTAGCGCCTGTACGACTCAGCCTTTGTGGAGTTCAACAGACTGAGAGAAAAAGATGCGCAGGCCAAGTACCAGCTGGCCGTGATGTACTACGATGGGATGGGAGTGAGCGAGAGAAATCAGGGACTGGCACTGAAACTGATGAAGGAAGTGGCATGTTCCAAGGACACCAGGGCCGCACATTTAGTCCACTCTGCTTGCTTTAACATCGCAATGGCATTTATGCAAGGTCACGCCACTGAATGGAAAAAGTTTAAAATAAGTATTAATTTTATCCTTTTATATTTCCCACTGTAAAATATTAATGAATAATCCATCATGGTCCATGATTAAAACTTACGATAAACTGTAAAGCTGAAACTACTCTCAGTTTCAGTCAGAGAATTAAAAATAAAATTGAAATAAGTTGCTTTCTTCTCTCCTCTAACCTCGCAAAAAACCAGTATATCTCCAGATCGATTGAGACTAGGAAAAAAGGATATAAGAGTAAGACTAGGATTGGTATTAGACTGAGGAAGTGTACGAGCCTATCCGACCAGAAAAAGATAGCACAACGAACAGAGTAATGAACAGTCGATATACTCTTATACGAAATTACTCAATGAGAATGCCATCCCGGGCTTAAACTCATCTGGTGCAACCAACTATTCTGGAGCAGAGTTAATAGTATCTTATGTTCATAAAAAACCAAACAAAACAAAGCAAACTGACATTAAAAAAGCTTATTTCCACGTCTCAATCGGTCTAATCAAGCTGAGCTGTTACTAAAAGACGACAATTAATCACAGAAAGACAAAACCCAAAACCTGCATCGCAAAATGAAAACGCAGAGTGCGACGACAAAAATTGAAAGTATTTGTGAAGATCTTCTTAATTTTTTACAAACTGCATTAATTACAGCCGTAAACTTTATTGAATGAGCCGTATAAACTTATTAATATGTGATAAAATATTTAAAACACAATTACCAACCAGAGAAGGACAAAAACTTTAACAACCAAAAAGTTTAAATCTGCAGTAAAATTTATTCAAAAAATTTTTATTCAAATTTTGTAATTTATTAAATAAAAAACACAAAACACAAAAAATTACTAAGAAAAACTAAATTTGTGAGGTTCGCCAAGATTCCTGTTCATCTCGAGAATCATTTATGTTTCTTGTCTTTATTTTGGATCCTTTACCTGGAAAAAACACAAATCTTTAAACACTAACGTAATCAAAACCAAGATCAGCAAGACCTTTCTCGGATATTTAGGTCTTTAACCATTTAAATTCCTAACTTTACTTTTTAAATTTCAAATCATCGAGGCTTCTCCTTGAACTGAAAACTTTAAACCGTCGAGTTTGATTAATTCAACCAGGTCAACAAGGATTCTCTTTGGATCTTTAACTTCTAAATTTTTATTTTTTTTGTTCTTAGATACTTGGATCATCAAGGCTTTCCTTGTTTCAATTTTCAACTCAACCTATCTCTTTAGTTCAGTGTTTAACGACCTAGAACGGCGAATAACTTAAACCCTTCTAAACGACCGAGGACTATATGACAGTTTTTCCTTCAAAAACTAACAATTAAAAATTAAGCTAACCCGTGAAGAACTTTGGTTACTCATACCTCACTTGAACCCTACCTTTTATTTGAACAAGGCTTAAAATAGCCCGTGGAAATAGTAAGTTCAAAATAGTCTTTAATGACCCACTCGCGCTCTAGTTAAACCTGAACATTGTGGGTTGATTTACTTTTCTCCAACACTAGACCTCACATTGATCCCAGTATCATTAAGATTAAGCATACTTAATTGTACAAAACGCTATATACATTTCAGTGCAGTACAAAAGCATTCTATTGAATCGACATAACTTATGGACAATTCGTCTTGCCTATAGATTACGACCCGAGGAATTAGATTAAGATTCACAAAAAGAGTAAAAACTTACAGTTTACGAACTAACAATTAACCGCTGAATTGTGCAACAATCAATCACCCTAACTTTTAGGTCAACACCCAGTTTAGCAAAAAAAGTAAAAGACCTATATTTCTCATCATGAATAAAAATAGAATTTTTTCATAACCTCATAACACATTTATTTCAAAGAAATAAGAGTCCAAGCAAAGAAGCGTTACCAGTTGTAAAAAAAAACTACAAATAAATGACCATTAATCAACAATTTTGTGCAAAACGTTTTCATAATATTGAATTTTTACAATTGAAGTTGACCAACTAGATCAATACAATCAAATACCGTATAAGGAACACAGAGGAAAAAGACTAAAAGTTTTGAAAAGTTTTAAAAGAACATGTTAAAAACATAAGCACCAAAACTCTATATAACTTAAATGAAAAATGACCTTTTTATCACCACCATAAACATCACGATATACAGCAAACGAAACTGAATTCTTTTTATGTTCAATAATGCTAGACATAGTTGGCGAAAAACTTGTAAAGTGGAAATATCATTCATAGTAAAAGTAAACCTCAAAAAATTATTAGCATGCTTTTTATCGACTAATTTCAACATAACATAGTCCTCATAGCATATTCAAGAGAACAATTTTATACAACCTGTGACGAGACGCAACCCTGGAAAAAGAAACAAAGTGTTTTTGAACCCTGAATGGTATCACGAAAAGTTCATAAATGTCCCGAATGATATTTCTATCTCACAATCCAATTATTTCTGTCAATGAAGTTTTTACGAAAGTTATTTCATTAATAACAGATAAAACACCATTAATAACAACCCATTATTTCAAAAAATTACAGGCAACCTTAGTTTGATTTCATCATTCAAGCATATACAAGAAAAATTAGACAGAACAACAACGCCAAAACAACAAGTTTATCAAACACCATCACACTTTCCAAACGAAGAAATCATTCACACAATGACAATGTTAACACAACAAAGTATCTCATCAAAACATTCAAAACACTCAAAACATGAAAAACACACCCTTCCCACAAACCCAATTACAATCCACAGCTAAACCAACTCCCTTTGTTAAATGCTCATCAAACCGACCGATAACTAAAAAGCGAACTTTTAACAGGACACACCGAAAATGGAACCACTTTGCAATCTATAATTATGCTTTTTTTAAAAAACAAATAATAACCTAATAACGAACTCAGTTCAAACACGGTACTCAAAATCTCTTGATCAGACTTATTATCAACAAAAACCTAAAAGTAGAAGCTCACAATCAGTCAGTTCACTTGATTAAAAGAACACATTAGAAGATCAATCTACAAACTACCCAATTTATTAACAAAACCAAACCATTCGAAGTAATTAAAGGACAATTCGATAGAGAATAAAAAAATCACTTCTTAGGAGAGTAAGATTTTCTTACAAAAATCAATAACAACCACATAGATCTGATAAAAAAAATTACCAATAGTGTAATAAAATTGAACCGAATGATTTTTTTGCACCATAAATTTACCCACCAAAAAATGATTAACAAAAACTAAGATTTCAAGGAAATACAAATTTACATCACAATGAAAAAGAATTTTTACACCACCAAGCCATTATATAAAAATACAACACCCAATATGTACTCAAAGCTACCAACTTGAAATAACGAAAAATGAAATTACACTACCATGTTACTAACCCCAACATGAAATTAGCACAAATCAACTTAAAAATTTCACTGAAATACCTTTTACAGAAACATCAGTTCAAATGACGCTGAATCGATATCTTATAGAAGATCGACAAAAACATCAACTGAACACCTCATGATTCTCACAGGAACAGACCATGAACACTCGGTCGAAGATTATTTTAACGCTGTTATAGCAAACCTATTTTCAATTTTATGGCCAGAACCGATAGACACACCATTTTATCACAGTCGGATTTTTAGACGCACATCAATAATGCAGACCACACTCGATGGCGCAGTTCAAAAAAGGTGTTCATTTTTACCAATAGAAATAAAATCAAATCGAAAAGGTTTATTCAAAAAGTTGCAAAATCATAATCGATTCAAAAACAAACAAGCAACATCAAGGAACTTTATGTAGTAAAGTCCATAGAATGAAAAGGCTCGAAGGAGAACGTCAAAGGAAAACGGTCACTTACAAAATCGTGTTATGGATTTTACTACATAAAGTTCCTTGATGTTGCTTGTTTCTTTTTGAATCGAATTTTTTTTTGTACGTTTTTGAAAACTTTTTTTCTTATGATAAAAATGAAAAACGATTTGGAGCTGATCCATCGCGTGTGGTCTGTATTATTGCTGTGCGTCTATGAATCCAATTCTGATGAAGAAGTGAGTTTATCGGTTCTGGCCATATAATGGAAAATCGGTTTGCTAAAACAGCGTTAAAATTTCTTCGACTAAGTTTTCAGGGTCAATTCCTTTGAAAAAGGTCGGTTTTGTACGAAACAATTGAACGTTTTGCTGTAAGAAGAGAAACACTTGAAAAAACACTTTTATTTCATCACAAATGGTTACTTTAATCCGTTAACCAGTTATTTTTTTTAGAAAACTTGTGGACAAATTAGAACAGGCGGAAACCACAATGAAAGTGAAAGATACAGCAAGTTTTAAATTATATTTTGTTTCAAACCTTTAAACAACAACCTTCACATATAATCATTATAGAAGGCTCAGAAAAAGAATGAGCACATGCATGACAAAAACCCAAATAACAAACGAAAACCCTCATTTACAAAATGGTGTAATTTTTGTAGACAAAATGAACACAGTATAGCCGATTTTGACAAAAACAACAAATTAAATCCAATTGACCACCACGATATTAGATACTCAGAATGAATGACAATTTTATCGATACATGAAAAAAATCGGAGCTTACCGAATGAAAAAGTTATAGAGTAGTAAAAGTTCGGGAAAACCACTACCGCACAAGTATCATTACAACAGATCACAATCGCCATGCAATAATAAGTTTCGAGGAACAGGTTCAGATATAAGAACATCCAATTATAACACACAAAACAGATATAGCCCGTCTAATAGCCACAAAAGCCAAAACAGAAATAATTAACCACGATCAACTTCAAACAGAGTTTATGATTCAAAGCACAACAAAAGTCAATCAAACAGATATAGTCGAAATGGAAACTACCGTTCCTGAAGCTACGCAATTAACCGCAAAAAAACTATTCGACCGTTAGAAAAAATACTCAAACAATCATCTTAATAGAGGAAAAAAACATTGATAATGAGAAAGTTCTAATAAAAATAG